CATTAGCACCGTCTGGTGGACAAAAAACGTAACTACAACAAATATAACTTTGCACTGTAAGCTCAGTGAAATATGACTAAATATGCATTCTAAAAACAAACACTGATACAAACCTTGTTCCCTCATCAACCAGGTGCTAAGGATCCTTTGCAAATCAAGATTATTCTGTGACAATATGCCTTTTCCCGTTTTAACTTTAGAACACAGCATCTCTCTGCCTGCCAGTGTTCGTGCCACTGCTGTACCCCCAGTGACATTCTATTCACGTCGCTTTCCTGCTCTCAGCCTTTCACAATAAAAGCATGGGCTGTATTACTGCTGTAGCTAAATAAACACTGTGGATTAATTTAAGACACAGATATAGTAATGACGACATTTACACAGAGTAGGTGAATGTACATTCATTTGAGTTTCTTCCTTGTCTTTTTGTCTGTTATAATTTTCCTGCCATCACTAGTATGCAGAGGTGTGAAAAATGCCAATGTTTATTACTGAAGCAGAAATATAAATCCTACTGTTTAAAAATATTCTTGTAGGAGTAGGGATGGATATCGAAAACCGGTCCCTGTTCAGAACCGGTTCTGTGTGTTCCAATTCCATGGCACCATTTGACAGCTCGCTTAACGGTTCTTTTAACACTTCCAGGCAGCACCACAGCCTAGCGCTGCGCAGCACGACCTACGTAACAATTTCTACGTAAGTTACGTCTCTTTTTACGCAAGTTACGCACACGGCATAAGGTAAGCAAGTACATAGGCGTAAGTCTAGAAAAGCAAAACCAAAAAAATACACTAAACTAAACATCTATCTATTCTAATAATAGTTATACAATTTGAGTCAGGTCTTCACAAAGAAGAAAAAGCAGATAAATATATCCATGTCAGCAGGATGGAAGACGATTTCTGACTACGAATTGTCCCTGATTGATCCTTATCAATATTGTTATGGAGTTGATAACCCCTAACTCTGTCTGTCTTTTGTTTTTTGTTGTTTTTTTCCCCACAGTTTGGATCAGATTGGACTGTATATTTAACCAAGCCGGATGGAACTTACAAGGAAACTACGCTCAGCAAACTGCTTCCCTTAGCATTTTCCCCCGAACACCTCGCAAAGAACTGACCATCCTTCAGCTGGATGCCCATGCACTCTAAGCTCTGACAGATAAAGAGAACTACATAGTAAAACTTAGTAGTTTTTTCATAGTAAGTTTAGACTTACTATGTACATGTAAACATAACCATACAATTAATGTAACTCATTTGTATCAGGCTAAAGTTGTGTGTCAAGTTTGTTTTAAAGCAGAAGTTGCTGATAAAATTTTTTTGTTTGTTTTATCTAGACATCAGAAGGTAATATTTGCTTATGTCTTTTTTTTTTTAGCCATGTATAACCCTGCGGTAATGCTTGCTGTAAGGATTGCTGGACAGAATACTATTAATTAGAAAATGTGTATGTATAATAATAATAATAATAATAATAATAATAATAATAATAATAACAATAATAATAATATTTATTATTATACTTATTATTATTATTATTATTATTATATCACTTTATTATTACTTTTTATTAGTATTATTTTATCACTTAATCATTATTATTATTATTATTATTATTATTATTATTATTATTATTACTGCATAAATTAGGAGAAAATAATTTGTTTGGATCCACTATAAGAGGGAAAGATTACGTCTGCGTTGTTATGTCATGTGATTTGAAGTGGGCGTGTCCTTTATCAGTTAACCGGAAACATGGAGGCTGTGCTGAGTGATGTTGTAGCTCCTGAGGACCTCAAAGTAAGTTTTACATTATTAAACCTTTTACTTCTTTTCAAACCTAACACTGAAGCCTACCTGGGACTATCACGGATATCCTCATAGCGTTAATTGTCCTGTTTAAAGCCTGACACGGTGGGAAAATACCTCGTCGACACGTCTGTCGCGTCACGTAGCATGCTAATGCTAACGGTCATATTTTGGGTCAAAACACACTAATTTGTTAAGGAAAGTAACGTTAGTGATTTATTCCTGGTGCCAACGGAGGTTTTCCTGTAATATATAACGACAGGTAATAAAAAATGTTATAAAAATCTTTGTTTAAAGATTAAATCCTACATAACAGGATGTTACGTTAGAAGTCAATACTTTAGAAGCTGAGTGACACAGAAATGGTTTCTGTTAACTGGGTTTTAAAACGCGATCCTAATCAAAGTATGAATTTTGGTTAATTATATATTTTTTATTTTGTTTCAGAAATTTGAAAAGAAGTACAACAACGAGCTGCTGAAGGGAGCTGTATCCAAAGAAACACAGTTTGAATATGCCTGGTGTTTAATCAGGAGTAAATACACTCAGGATATCAAGGAGGGAGTGAAGCTTTTGAAGGGTAAATATGTTTTTGTTTAAATATTCTATTATTGATAATGGCAATCCTTTTATTAATCTCAATTAAAGCTAAAGGAAAAGTTCAGTCAGATCTGCAGGCTGCTTTGACGTTTTGACTGTGTTTGTCCCATAGACCTTGTTCACAAATCACCAAAGGATGACCCCCGGGACTTCCTCTTCTACCTTGCAGTGGCCAACTACAGGCTGAAAGTCAGTAAAGTTCCTAAAGTTAATTGAAGTCCTTTTTTTTCCCCCTTTCATAAGGTGTTTTGTCAGGAATGAAGTGCTGTAGATCGGCCCACCTCTTAGTCAGTTCCTACCCCCATCTTATCATCATTTAGTAATTGATTAGTCGTTAACTCCAGTATAGAGACTTAAAAATGTAGGTTTAGCTGACAGAGCAACCCAATTAGAGCAGTAAATATATCAAAATGGTGAAAAAATATGTATAAACATTTTGCTTTTAAGATTTTTTTTTCTATCGATATGCTCTATGCAGAACTCCTGAAGTGGAAAAGTTTTAGTTTCACCTGGTTTAATTTCATATGAAATCTTCTTTAAAGTTGTAGGGAAGTCTTATTTAATTTTCAAATAATTTAATGTACTCTCTATCAGACCATGTTGTCCCAAAAGTTTGAAAATTTTAATAAAAAAAAAAATCCTGTCTTAAAATTTTGTGGAACACTCATCTGTCAATCAAATTTTTATGGTCTAAGCATCTTGATTCATACGTCGCAGCTAATATACACAACGGTTCAAATAAGAAATAAGCATAATTTACTTTCCCATTGAGTTCCGTCCCAGTGTTCACAGGGATGGATGTCTGTGTCTTCAGCAGGCGTAGAGCTAACAGAACTGGCAGCTTTGCGAGGCAAGGGCTCAAACATGTATGGCTGTAAGCCTTCTACACCAAACCAAGCTTCTGCTGCCCCAACGTCCTCTTCCACAACATCTTTGTCCACGCTTGCCTCCTCTAAATAAAAATTATGACGTAGGAGACTCATCCACGACCTCCGACATAAACTCTCCTCTTCTTGCATGTTTCCGCTGTCCATAGCGTTCCTTGACAGTGTCGTTGGTAAGTGCTACTTGGTCCCAATGTAGTTTCCCATTGGGAACCTACTAGCACGAAGTTGCTAACTGTTTAGCAAGATGCTTCAGAGACACTGGCCACAACCAAACTTGCTTGCGAACCTTCCACCACAACAACCCCGCCCCTTTGATAAACGACCAATCACATTCACTCGCACCACTCAGGAGAATCCGGAACTGCAACTTTGGGAACAGCCGCGTCCCTATGACTTCAAGGAACCTTTTGCTACCTGATTATTAATCAAAAAAATAATCAACAAATTAATCGATTTGCAAATTAATCCTTAGTTGCAGCCCTTTTTTCTTGTAAACAAACTCTTTTTTTTACTGATCCATTTAACCCTCACATGGCATTTTTCTTTTAATTTGATTATTTATTGAATCCTTCCAAAAAAAGTTTAAAAACATATTGAGTCTTCACCAACCTATTCATTGAATCATGGATAGAGAATATAAAATCCTTTAGATTGAAAGATTTTCATCTCTTCTCTGTTTGGCTGTGGTTTTAATCCAAGTCAGTTATCCTATATGAAAGATTATGAGCTCTGCTGAAGCCGAAATAATCCTGAAAACCTTTCAGAAGACTTCATTTCTTAGAGTAGTACTAAAAAAATAAAGAAAACAAAAACGTAAATGCCAATTTGTCAAGTTAGGAGAGAACATACATTTTTACAGGCACAAACTAAAGCTTAACAATAGCCTAGTGAAGAAATCACCAGCCAACCAAACTAAAGAAAAGTAATCTTACTTTTCTTATGAACTTAAAATCATAGTGTTCTCCCTTCTTGCTGCTGTTCATGATACTTTTAGTCTGCTTTCTCTTCTATAATGCTGCATATTGGTGCTGCTACAGATAGATGTCACTGTGGGGTCATAAAGAGCAAATAGAGCTTTCTAGATGATTGCATAAGTACATTTTGAAGGCAACTGCAGTTTTTCATATTTGATCGTGTTTGTTTTTTCTGTGTGTGGAATATTTAGGTTAAAAAAACATGGGTCTATATCTTTTTTGTGCAACTCGTATACAACTTTTTTTCATTGTAAATTTTTGACTGTTTCTTTTAGGTTGAATACTATTGAATAATGTTCCATGTTTTCACTTTTGCTGTATAAGATGGGTTTTTTTAAAGTAAAATTTTCAGTCAGAAGTTTACATCCACCCATTGGCGATAATCTGATTTTGTTTCTAGACTGTTTTAATCTGGATTTTTAGTGTTTATAAAACAAACTTCATTCGTTTTTATAGTATGTTTGGTACATTTTCTTTCCTCTCTTATTTGTTTCATTGTTCACCAAAACTCACTTGAAAATACAGAAGGTTTTAAAGTTTTCTATGTATTTTGGTCAAAATTCTCAAATCAGAAAGAAAATCTGAGATTTATGAAGCTTCTGATGTGATTCTGTTTGGCTGTTTTACAAGTCTTTGTATCAGAAACGTTGTAGCTTAACCTAAGTCTGATTTATCCTTTCCAGCTCAATGATTTAAAGGTAGTTTTTCATTATTCTGTCCACTATGTTAAATATACAGTTCAGCTGGTTGCAAACAAACCTTTAGCAGGATGCAGCTGGTTTATGCTTTATTCTTAAGGGGGATATACGCTGGGTGCATTAATGCGAGTAAGCGTAGCAGAGCCGCAAATGTTCGCCACGCTTATGTTACGCGTCTGGCTGTTTTCCATTTCAAACGGTACAATTATTTGCACTAGATGCTTAATATGCTGGTTCAATGCACATATTACGACATGGATACGCGATGCTGTTCCTAATTTAGAATGACTTTCTAATTTCAAATGTGTAATCGCTCCGGTTTCATCTAGGAAAAAACAGAAACACAACATCACAGTTCACCCGTTTTCAATTTTATTTAAACACAGAAAGAAATTTTATATTTAGGTCTAGTTTAGAATTGATTCAGAATAGTTTGTTCCATGCAGATTTAAAATAGATAGAGGCACACACATCTCTACCCAGTCAACCAATGATTAATTTATAACATATTAATTCACACGTCACATCTAAACAAGTATTGCTTCTCAGAACTAAGGCGTGGAACCTCTGGGAACTACTGGGCAGCAGAGTTGGTTCCAATCATTTAAACTATCAGTACTAGTTAAAGCGTCATTTATTGATTTATTTATACAGTTGCAGGTGCAGCAGAGTCAAATATTAGACCCCACAGGCCGAGAAGTGCCCTAATTAACAATAATTAGGGGGAAAAAACGAATATGAAACAGAGGAATCGGGCAGGATTCAAACTCAAAAATCTATCATTTGAGAGGTATGCATGTTAACCTGTTTGCCAAACAAACAAATATATATTATGTAGCCTGGAAACCAGGATGCATCAGAATTCACCACATTGACAGGACCGCGCCTTCACATATCTGTTATGCATCAGAAGAGCTGTTTATCATATTTTAATTTTAAGGGTCAGGTATGAGTTGTTTTCTTATTTATTTATATTATCACTATCAATATTATTATAATGGAACAAATAAGTTCAGCAATAACTTAATGCAGGATAAGAGCTCAATTGTAGTTCTGATAGCTATCCAGCAGATGCCGCCATTCTAAACTGTTTCTGTGTTGAATTTTTTGCCAGTTGTCTCAAATTGGTTCATTGGATTATGGGGCTTTGAAATTTTCATCACTACTATCACTGGCTTTGATGTTATCACTAAGATATATGACAGTAAGAGCCTCGGAGTTCACATCCTCTATGCTGCCTGAAACGTCCCAAACGTCTTTATGTTTTGACAGCACGAGAACATCTGAATGCATGCACGTTATATTTCAGAAGGACATCAGTCACAGATTTATTGAATAAATTGGGGGAAAAAACATGTGCAGAGAGGGATGATATCATTTGGTTGTACTGAAAGCATCTTGTGATGTGATTTATGCATTTCTGTGGGGGTTCCTCACCTGCGTTCTGGTACAACAGTGTGCCTGTCTCTGCTGCCTCCCTGACCGTCCTCTGAAGATAACTAATCAAGGTTTTATGGCCTGCAGGTCATAATGATCTTTCTCTTCTTTAACGCCGAACTATCCAACTAAAGTTCACATCAGATCTGCATCTACTTTTCTTTACTCTTTTTCATCATAGTAGATGAATTTGTTTTTAGAATTTTGTAGATAAGTTTTTTCTCAATTTATTTATTTATTTTTTTTCTCAGGAATATGAGGAAGCCTTGATTTACATCCGGAAACTTCTCAAGAACGAACCCGGGAACAAGCAGGCCGTGGAGCTGGAGAAGCTGATTGAAAAGGCTTTAAAGAAAGGTAAGGGAAGTTTCTGCAACGTAACACTCTGCAAATGTTGAGTGGATCCACAGCAGAGCCTCATGTCTACTTGTCTTCCAGACGGCCTGGTCGGGATGGCGATCGTCGGCGGAATCGGTCTGGGCGTGGCGGGTTTAGCCGGCCTCATCGGCTTGGCTGTGTCAAAGGGAGCAGCCAAATCTTAACCTGGAAAGATGTTTGCTGGACTTATACACTGACCTGCATTAAAAAAAACAAAAACAAAAAAATAACCAAGTGCTAAAAGATTTTGGTTTGAAGTTTTTGTGTTTCAACAGACTAAAAGCAAATGGTTTGGTAAAAAAAAAAAAAAAACAGGGTTTAAAAAATATTCAGGTTCTTCTGTTCACATAGCATGTCAGTATGAAGTTATTTGTATAAACATCTTAAATATACTAGGTTGACATTTGTTTTCTGTGCAAATGGAATGTATGTCTAAGAGTGTACAGGTTTGTTTCTTTGTTTATGAATAATGGAAAGTATTATTATTTACAAACAGCGGTTTGGCAGTAAACACTTATTCCAGGCTTCTCCTTTCTCCAGATTTCTCTATAGATTTAAATTAATTAACACATTTAATTGTGTTAGAAGCTTTCCTGACATTCACATTTACTATATTTAATTACGCCTTTTACATATTGATAAATAAAATGACTGCAAGAATATTTGTGTTCTCTGTTGATCTCTAGTTCTCTAATTCAGAGGATGAATTAAAGGAAAATGGCTTGGAGGTGGTGAAATGAAACCATTTGAAATTAGTTTTTAAAAATAAGGTTGTTATTTTTCCACTTTAATAACAAAATAATCTGGGGGGGAAAAAGAAGAGCAGCTGGTGTTCTGTTCCTTTATTAACCCCTTAATGTCATCAGCCGATAAGACACAAAAAAACCCTCAATTTCTACACCTCATAGTTTGTACTTTAATAACAAAGAATTGGTGAGGAATACAACAAATGGGTATGCTAAGCTAAAAATGTTAAAGTGTTACCTTTAAAAAGCTTCTGCATCTGATGCAAAGGCCTCAAGAATAGCATTTGGAATTTGAGTACACTTTTTATATTATATTTTTATATATATATAGTGTCTGCGGTTTACAGTTTAGAGCAGTGATTCTCAACCGGGGGGAACACGTACCCCTAGTGGTCTGCCGGGGTAAGTATTTTATTTCCTAGGTAGTAAGATAAAATAGCGCTTTGATCTGCATTGAAAAATGAAACAAGCTTTAATCAACCAAAAAGTTAGTTCTTATATGTTTTAGTTCATCTTCAGCTTTGAAAAACATCCAAACCAAGCAGAGGAACAGACTGGATGTAGAGAACAGACTGGGATCAGCTGTTTTTCACACTGAGCTCATTGAGCTCATCAAAGCAGCTCAGGTTTTTTAATGAAAACAGTCAAATTAATCAAGTCACTCTGACTATAATTTTTGTTCTACATTCTGTTCCCAATTCATCAAGTTTAAATGTGATTACCGGTATAAGGAAGTTAGTCAGAGGAGCTCCAGTTTTGTAAATACAGATTTATAATATGATTTTATATTGTATTTATTTTGATTCCTTACTAACTTCTAGGCAACATATTTATGTTGCTTTTTTTTCCCATTTGAGATTGAAAGCATAAAACACCAAAAAAATAATGCTCAAATTAAAAGTAAGACAAATATTTTTTATTTTATAATCAGTTATTGTACTTTCCACTTTTGGACAATCATCAATAATATTTACTGAGGGAGGAACTCATGGTAAGACAAAATGCTCAAAGGGGTACAGAAGTCAAAAAAGTTTGGGAAACACTGGTTTACAAGATAAATGTATGTTTTTATATCTAAAAATACAGTTAAAAAAATTCTCTGGAATTATCGTGCCGCAAACACTAACAGTGTAGTTAGTTATTCGCAATATTTAAGCCATAACAAAGAGGATGGAATGATAGTAAATGTTCTTACAAAAAAGATGTTGGCATAGGCTTGGTTCCTGCTCTAAAAGTATATAGAAGTTATTGTCTTAAAAAGCAGTTTTAATGGTTTAAAGTCAGAGTTAGATGCCAGAGAAAGTGATTATTTTTCTGGTTTCTTGCAGAGTAATCCAGCTTTGCACTTCCTCTTCCTATAGCTGCACCCTGCAGGTCAGCAGACTGAAAGCTGGAGACTATCTAATGGACTAATGTGCTTATTTGGAAATATTTACAATCATGAAAAACACAAACAGCCATGGTATGAATGAAATATCCATAATGCTTAAAATTTGATCAGCTGTATAGACAGGTCTCCCCTATTAATCAGGGAATTCTATTTTCAATTCTTGAATTAAAAGATACATTAATTTAAATATAAGATGAAGGTATCATGTTGTGGTTGCATTAACTCTGAGATAATTGCTAAAATAAAACAGCTGAGATTTCGTGCTGCAGGTAAAGGGAGATTGTAGAGGTATACAGCTGATAAAGTCGCCTGTCCACCGTTATCCACAACAAAACACTAAGAAAAAATAATGGTTTTCCAATGAAGGCCAATAAGTTGCTTTATTTTAAAGTCTCCGCATGCATCCAACCTGTGCCTCATACTGTGCAGGCATTGGCCCACATGGCAACAAAGAAATCAAAATGCAACCATTGATCAGACGGAACCGCAAGCAAGAAAAACTATATATAACTTTATATAAAAAGTCTAAAAAAAATGATATAAACTTTATTAACCCCAACAAAATTTAAAACACACCCATAAAGCTCAATATAACCAGTCTGAAGAACTGGTAAGAGTTTATGACAATATATAAAAATGGAAGGAATCCTACATAAAACCTTTTTTCTTAGATATTCATATTGTTTTTTTTTTGTTTTTTTTATGTTGCTCTGTTGCTTCTCAGCTCTCCTCCACTGTCCTCCTGGATAAATCCTGGAGCTGCTGCTGAACCCCAAAGCATTTAGTGAAAGAAAAAGAAGGTGTCTGAAAACGTATAAAGAGATATTACACATTAACTAAACATAAAATTGACAGAAATACAAATCCACTGCCCCATTGTGTTTGTGCCAGCAGTTATGCTCAGTGGCTGTAAAGTGGTTTTGTACTGGATTACACAATAACCTTAATTACAGTGATGGTGGCATACACAATGTTCCCAGTGGTATTGCATTTCTACACGGTGATTACACATTAATATCCTGCAGACTGGAGTCAGAACCTAAATGAACATTGGCCCTTTAACTCACTTCTCAATTAGCTTTGCTTTGATTAATCATTGAGGGTAATATGTGTTTTAACAGAATGTGTGAAGGGTTAGTTTGACACGAAAATAACTTTTAGTCCCCTTTTTTTCTAATTCCTAAGAACACATTTACTACTAAGAAGGTTTCCTCTGATCAGTCCCTGGTGAGTTTCGGTGTCGTCAGAGAGGTTAATTATCAACACCTCATGAGGCTGATAACGCCACATACAGCTGATAGCCTCTGTAAGCATTCCCGTTGTAAACCAAGCCGACAATTTGAATCTTTCAGGAGATTGAGACGTGTTTGATTGAACCTACCAGGAGTCGGGGAGCGGGTTTTCTAATCAGACCCATCCACACTGCACTCCCTTCAGTAGTCCTTTCCACCTCTGTTTCTACATTGGCCCAATAAAAGGTGGTGATTAGACGGAATTGGACTATTGCCTCGTCATGATTCTGATAAAAGAAATTTCAGAGTAATTAATCAGTAGCTGCAGATTCCGATAAGAAGGAGACTTTTCCACTAACAAAGGACAAACCATCAGAGAGTCACTAAGTTCAGTTACACAAAGTTCAGCTATGGGCTTTGGCTTTAGCCTCTTGAATTACAGTTATATATTTTCTCACATAACTTTTTTTTTTTGCACCACTTTATGTCTATTTTTTTTTTTTTTTTACTTTTTATTTTCAAGAATTTTTACAACAAAAGAACATTCCCTGAGCCAAGAGCAATGAAATCAATAACAGAAGTACTGATACCAAATATACAATATTTCAACATAAATGCAGCACAATAAACTAGATCACCTGAAACTTTGAATACCCTAAAAGAGAAAACTGCACATACACACTACAATATGTATATATACACACACACAAAACCCATGTACACCCCTCACACCCCTGTGCTCACCCACAGGTCAAGAATACAACATAAAGTGAACAAACAGCAAAAAAATACATATATTATATACACATACAAATATACATACACAGATATATACATATACAAATACATACCTTAGGAATACCGATGACAGAGCAGATTGCAATTTATTAGAATCACTACAGCCCAAAATCATACACCCAAATATAATTTCAGCAAATGCCATCTTTGATTGAACTTGTCCACTTTTAGTTGTAAACATTCGGTCATTTTTTTCCATCATATACACTTGTTTTACCCTATTCTTCCACTCTGCTATAGATGGTGACCAATTAGCCGTTGTAGTTTTTTTAGCTACTAATAGTAAAATGTGCAAAATATACTTTTGGTCTACGTTAAAATTTTATGTCTAATTTTTACAAATTTTTTCAGCAGATGAGACACTTTGCCAATTGGAAAAAGACAGAGTTCAAATAAGAAAAAAAAACAACTGCAGTCTCTTATTTCAACTGAATATCTAATTATCTTATTCTAAGTGTAAAATAGTCACTCTATTGGCAGATTATCTTATTTAACTACTCAATATAAGGGTAAATACATGCATTTTAATATATCTTTTTTAATAATTTTAAGATCGCTTTGCAGTGTATGTATAATTATATAATCATTAAGGGTAAAATATAATAAAATTTTATTTTCGTCCCCATTTTCACTTACCAGTGGTGAATCTGACATAGTGGAAAAATAGCAAATCCTCTTTTGGAAAATCAGCCTATATGAGCGATGCAAACAGCAACTTTTACACAGAGCGTGCACGAGCCCATTTCTCCTCGTGCACGCTCTATGCTCTCTCACACACATTTACTAGGCGTTTCCTTTCTTGCATGTGCACTTTTTTTAAAGTGGAGAGGGCGGATCTTTTCAAAAATTTGTGAAATCCCTCTATACCTTTAAAAAGAGTGTATGATTTCTGAAAGATTACATTCAATCCCCAGCCAAAAAGCACACAAACTATTAGTTTAGGCAATGATTATTTTAAAACTATTTATTTTTATTTAGTTTTTTTTTTTTTTTACCCCGTCAGAAATTAAAGAGTTAATTTCTCATTTTGTTTTAGAATGAGAAATTCTAACTGAAGTAAAGCATACATTTTTTTTTAAACTGTGACAAATCTTAGAAATTAATGTCATTGTGATTGACTTCTTTACCAACAGGTGTTGGCACACCACAGGGGTGTGTTCTCAGCCCTCCCCACATAATTTTTTTCCACATGACTGCTCTAGTCTCCACCCCACGAAGATGTGAAATTGGCGAGCAGCTTCACTGTGACGGGTTTCATATCTAACAAGGAAAAAACCCAATAAGAAAAAGAGATCCACAGTCTGGCACATTGGTTTTACAGGAACAACCTCAGACTGAATATCAGCAACACCAAAGAGGTCATAGTGGAGTACAGGAGAGACGGAGCATGGTCTTCCTGCGTACATGGAGACATGGTAGGGCGTGTGGGAAGTATAAAGTTGCTGTCCGTTCACATCTTCTGTCAGAGACAGAAAGCACCTCCCACC